AGGATTTCAACACATCAATTTTGGAGAGACACAACTCAGCCCATATCAAATTTCAACTATGACCAAGCCCTTTTGTGCTTCCTGGGCATGATCGCTAATTTTTATGACAATTATGCAAAATGGGTACTGTGACCCTCGTTATTCACATCAGGAAACTCTCATCATTCAAGCCAGGAAACTGAAGCTCAGTGGGGTTAAATGCCTGGACCCTAGTTATTAAGTGGTGGAGCTGAAATCAGAACACAAGCCTGTTTGGCGTCAAAGCTGCTGTTCTTTCCAGTACAGGAAAGAGGGAATAACTTGAGCCCAAGACCATCAAATTCATCCTCTTTCCAAGTTAGAGCTGCAATTGCTCTGCTCAGGAGAACAATGTCCTCCTGAGGACCACACTGAGTCCATGTCACAAGCTACTCAAGGGAACTTGCCCAAGTGGCTCACAAGTCTGCTAAGCACCACCCTTTGGGCTGTTTTGTTCCCTTTGAAACAGAGCTGTTTCTGCTTCTGCTGCTCCTTTTCTGTCTGGAATTCTTTCTTTCTCCATTAGACATTAAAGTATTGTCCACCCTTCAGGATCTGGTTAGTGACCCTGGTCACTCCAAAGCTCATCCAAGGTCCCCCTATCCTCAATTCCTGTCATGTTTATCACGTGCACATTACAAATCATTTTGGCCAAAGGCCAACTTGGGGGTGCATCTGACTCTGCTATCTCCTAGCTGTGTGGCCCAAGTAGGTTCTGTAACCTGTCTGGGTCTTTAATATTTTCTCATCTCTGGATTAGGATTAAAATGCCTACCTCACAGAGTTATTGGGAGAGATAAATAAATGAGTTGACATATTTATTGTACTTAGCTCTGTGCCTGATATATAGTAGGCATTTAATAAAAATGTGTCTTTCAATCAAGCTTGCTTCCTTTTAGTTTATATTTCTTTAACCGTATTTTTCATGTCTTCCCAAGATTAAGAGCTTCTCAGGGGCAAGGACCAGGAGTCATTTGAATTTGTGACTGCATAGCATAATTTTGGGCCAATAAAAAGTAGCCTGTATTCTTTGGTCCAGAAGTGCCAAACACATTTAACACTATTTGAGATATAGAAGACAAGCTCACAAAAGAGGATTTCAGGCAGAGAGCAGCATAAGCAGAGGCAGCCATCTCCATTTCAAAGGGAACAAAGCAGCCCAAAGGGTGATAATTACCAGTCCCATGAGCCACTGGTGGCTTCTGTTATATATCTCATATAGTTTGTTGGATTGCATCAAAACTGTTATGTGGATCACCTCTGAGTTTGTACTCCCATTCATCCATCCATTCATCCACTGCTAATTGACTGCCTCTTAAATGCATCCCCCTGAAGATTCTGTTTCTACATAGTTTCTTTAGTAGAGGGAGAGCTATAGGTTGGTGATGGGAAGGACCAGGGGATGATGATGGGAAGAGACACCAACTCTCAGCTCCCATTCCCCAGAAATTCTGATTTAATTGCTCTGGGATGATACTGAAACAAACAAAGGAAGAAACGCCCTAAGTATTGGTTCTGATGCACAGCCAGGGATAAAAACCACTGAAGCAGATGCTACACAAATAGTCCAAGAAACTTCCTTCTAGGGTGGTGGTACCTGGCAAAGATCTAGGAGTGTCCGTGTGCTGGCCTGGAGCTAGGAGCAGAGCCCTGGGCTGGAGGAAAAGGGAGGCACCAGGCAGAGGCTGATCAAACATGGGCTCTCTTTCACCTCTTACCTACCTAGTTCCCAAGAGGAAAGTAACTAGATTGGACTCCCCAGGGAGAGGGGCCAAGGATTGCAGGAGAGCCCAAAAGGCAGAGCTGTGTAGAGCTTAGGAAATAAATCATTACCAGGGAGAATCCCACTATTGCCCTATTTAGATATAGCTTGGAGTCACAATTTGATGATGACCTTACAGATGTGATCATTTTGTGAACAGGCTTTGACAAACCCATTTACTCCTCTTCCTACTCCAAATCTGGGTAGGTCAAGGCTGATGAAGTGTTTCCAAAAGAGCAGTTGATCTTAAGTACTGGCTGTTTCAAAGATTTGGGATAGCTGTTTCCTGGCGTGTTTCAGGCCCATTTCACAATGGCAGCTCCTGCAGGAGAATGTCCTTAGAGACTGCTCCAAGGAACCCAGACTCTCATCCTCCCAATGCCGGCTGCTGAGAATCCTGATGACCTATTCCTGGCATCTGATGTCAGGGTGCTTGACTCCCCTCTCCCTAACTCCAAGGACAGGAAAATAGAGTCAGAGGAGGCCAGGAAGTTGGTCATCACCATAGGGTTAGATCATATTTCCCAGTTTTTTCTAAGACACAGCCGGCTCACATAGGTTGGTGAGTTTTAGTACAGAATGTTCAGGATTTATCATTTTAAAAGAGAAAGAAATTGGGGGTGATATCAGATCATTTTCTCTCTCTTGCTGTTCATCTCCGTATTTCTTAGTGGTCATCTGTCCTTACCTCCAGGAATTTGGAATAAACAAGAACCTCTAGGGGATTTATGACTAAGGGAACGCTACAAAAGACACATCGCCTTGGATGTGGGATAATGCTCTTTACTTTTCACTGGATAAATTTTGATTTTTGCCTCCATTAGCCAAGTGAAAGATTTTCTACTGCCTTTCTCACAGACAAGAATAGCTTTGAGCTGGAGGGTTAGGTAAGACATGTGCATCTTCAGGTTTCCCCTCACATGTCATAGCAATCTCAAAAGCTGACCTGATCTTCAGCCGGTATCACTGTTCTTATTGGTCATGCCCATGACATACTGGTTGTCACATATTTTGAAATTACCTCTCTCTCAAAGGAGTGGCATTCTCCTTACAGGTGGCGAACCCCTCACCTGCGCAGAGTGACTGATGACTGCACACAGCGGTCATCACTCTTCTGCATCCAGGGAACCCCCTCCCCACAGTGGGTTCTGCCTACTTCTCTATTTCTATTGACCTGTGATTTTGTTGTCACCAAATACTTCCTTTGAGTAAAGAATGTTGATTTAGTCAAGAGCTGTCCTGGGGAAGGCTGAGGAAGATGGGGACAGTGGACAGTAGTGGATGGTGGCCTATTCAGTAGGACAAGATGTAGCCACTTAGGAACATTATAATTCTTGCTAATTCAATGAAAGGCCAACATTGGAGAATGGTGGAAAGATATGGAGTCAGCGTGGGTCCTTCTAATACCTGAGTCCCTCCATGAAAGTTGCAAATCAAGGGAGGGTCATTAACCATTTATGTACTAAGTCTCATCCCCTGATTAACTGCCTTAGTATGGAACCAGCCAACACTAAGTTGGGGCATGAAAAACATTAAGTTGCTGCCTACATACTCCATTCATCCTGGTAATGGTTGCTATCACCACACTGAACCAGCCTGCCCAATATCTACAGAAACCCACATTCTTTCAACGAGGAAAAAAAAACCTCAGGTAGAGAACTGACAATGAGTTGCTATGAGCAGATGCATCTGATCTCAAATATCTGTTCCTGTAACCCAAATTGCAAAGCATTTTCCAAAAACCATCCAGTTGCAGAATTTTAAAAATGTATTTGATTGTCATGTTTGCCAATTGGGTCAGTTTACCAAGGCCTTATACTTCCCCCTTTTCGACTGGGGGAAAGGAAAAGGAGACAGCTGGCAGCTGGTGATTGAAACAGAATTCTCTCCGGCATGTAAGTGTTAGCAGTCATTTCTGTGTTATCTTGGCCACGGCCGCCTGGCACTCTCTGCAGTGCCTGGGCCAAGGACTGCCCTTCCTGATGGTTGCCCTCTGGATTCCACTAGCAGTCAGGGTGAAAACCACAGCAGATTGAGGCCCTGGAGCTCTTCATGGCTTTTAGTTGCCTTTGAGTCTCAGAAAAGTCTGTGAGAGCATCAGAGGTAATTATCTCCCTATGGCAGATGCGGGAACTGAGACTCAGATAACCAACTTATTCGAGGAAACACAGCTAGTTTATAGTAATTCTGGACTTTAATCCCTACCCATTTCTTAGTCTTGTGCTCTTTTCAGAACACATGGGCATAGGAAAAGTTTCCACAAGGTGCTTTCTCCTGGTCCTCAGATCCATGAGGTTTGGGATTCTTTCATCTGATAGTCTACTTTTTAATTGCCATAGTAAGTAATCTGGTCACCTAAAAACTTTGTTTTCATTACCATCATTATAAAAAGATAGTTATCAAAAATCAATACATAGGCATAGGCCATGGACAATAGTTTGGGGAAGGTCTGGGAGGGGGCAGGAGTGAGATGGAAGGGGCAGTCACTACTTTTAACAATAAAGATAAATTTAAAAATGATAATAAAATAAAATTATAAGGAAGAGAACAAATAATAAAATGAAAGTAATAGAAAATTTGCAAAGGGCAACAAAAATCAATACACAGGATTGGGCATATTATAATGTTAATATTCTACACTACATACTATAGGACTATAAAATACAACTTTAATTTTATGGTTTAAGTCTAAGATTTTCCACACTATGGGTCATGAAGTCAATTTAATAAAAAATTAAATTAAAATAAAAAATAAGGAGAGACTAGAATTGAAAATATTAGTGTTGCATATAGCAAAGGTTAAATATTAATCTCTAATCCTTTTGTTCATATATTATGTGTACTGAATTCCAAGATTAAAATTATTTCATACTATATAGTCTTTTCCTTTTTCTTATTTTCCCTCGTTTTCCTTTCTCTTTTGTTGTTCCTTATCTCCCTCTTTCACAATGTATAAAGAAAACTTACCCCAAAGTCCGTCACCTTTGTCCTATTTACAGGTACCATCGCCCATCCTCCCCAACCCTCATCTTGTCTCACATTTCCTCGCCCAAGGGTCTGGAGCAGAGGCTGTTCTCAAGTGTAGATACCTCAACACACCTCCTTTCTCTGCTGAAAATGTCCTTATGTAGTGTGACCTTTGAGATAGAGGTTTTTAAGTTCTCTCCATGTTTTATAAATACCTTGCTCTATCTTTAAATCACCACATTTCCATTTTCAGGCAAAGCAACTCAAACTTGAAGAAATGAAACATCCAAGGAGAACCACACTGTGCTTCGTGATCCTTGTGATTTATTCTTTCCAAGTCACAGCGACTTGGAATATAGAACCTACTGTTCATCCTTTGGTGAGTAAATCCATGTCTGCTATATTTTTCCTTGTCACATTTTTCTGATATCCTGGGAATATCACAGATGGAAATGTCTTTAAAATTTTTTTTAAGATCTTTGAGAAAATGGGGGTAGGAGAGGTAAACCTAAATGGACAGTAGTGTATCTACTCATGGGTGACAACTTGCTCTGAAATCCCCCAGTCTTCGCTTTTTAACAAAACTGCCACCACTAGGCCTGAAGCTGTACAAAAAGAGACATCTCCAATGCTAATGGAGATGCTATGAAAATGACAACGGTGACTGTAAGGCAGATTTTGAGGATTGAAAAGAATGGGTGTTCTCAAAGGATTCATTTTAACTTGATCATCAGACATTTCAAAAGATGTTCATTGTGTGTGATCATCACAGACTGGCATAGCTGAGGGGGCAGAGATATCATCAAGCTTTTTGTGTGACAAATTATCCAGGTAGTTTTGTCTTTAGGAAGTTAATGGGAGTTTTTCTTAACTTAATAAGTGCTGTCTTATTATTATTTTTTTCTTTTGGACATTATTGGGTTATTTCTTCCTTAGCTTACTCCAGGTACCAGAGTTAGAGTAAGTTAGGGGCTATGAATCTTGGGAGATTAATGTAATTCTCTCTGTGTTTCAGCTTCTTCCCCAACAAAACAATGATAATGGTGGCACTAATTTCCTATGACTGCTTGGAGAATTAAATTAATTAATATTTATAAGTTGCCTTAGAATAGTGCCTGATACATATTAAATACTGTAGCACTGTTTGCTATTATTATTTCTCCTACTATAAAGTGTGTTTTTTTCATGTTGATTTTTAAAGAAGCTATTTTAGTGCTACTCTATTTAGTCTGTCAGCATTGTTATGGCTTTATTGGTTGATTTTAGCATTGGAGATGTCTCTTTTTGCCATGCTTTTAATTCGTTATTCATCCTGTCTTTGTATTATGTTCACCTGATCTTTGTCCTTTGTTTTTTGTTTAACTTTTAATATATCACTTTGCTTTACTAGTTCTTTTATAAACAACATGTTTGAGGCTTTTTTTCCTCCCATTTAAATCAAATCTGAGTAAACCTGATTTTGATTGTGGTATATAATTTATTCACGTTAATGTCATATTTAAAATGCTTGGTCCTACTTTGAGGATTTTGTTTTATGACTTTATGTACTTCATCTTTTCTGTTTTCATCATTTCACCTAGGTTTTTTTTGTCTGCTTTTTTTGTTTTGTTTTGTTTTGTTTTTATGTCTTTCATTACTTGGGCGGTATACTTTGTGTGCAGAGTGTGACCCTGATGATTTTGTGCAGCAGTGTGCACATATATGGTGCAGAGGGAGATGCTTACATTTCCTGTGGATTCACAGGGTCAGTGCAGAGCTCTAGTTACCCCAGGCACATGGAGAGCCAAAGGGTGAGGGGATCACAGTCATGGGATTAGCTTTTCCTCTGCTCCAGGGTCCTAGTGCCCTCCCGGTGTGCCAGGTTGACCCTCATTGCAGAGGCCCTAAGAAAGCCTCTCCATCTGCCTGGTGGCACAGGCTGTCAGGGCATAAGCCTCTGATCTCCAAGAGCTGCTAGTAGAATTTGAACTTGATTTTTCTGGAAGGTCCCCTCCTTTCAAAAGCCCCTCCATCCCATTTTCCACTAGATCTGCAATCAAGATATAATATTTCATACAGCCCAAAGACCAAAGACCCCCATAGGAGAGGTACACTTGAGCCCTTCTTATCAGCTTACATTGCTCTAAGCTGCCACCCAGCTTCCACGGCTGGCCTTCTATCATGGTAAATGCGTAGTGATGAGCTTTAAAAAAAAACAATTATAGCTTTTGAAATAAAATTCACCATTTTGACAATTGTTAAGTGTGTAGTTCAGTACTGTTACATATACTCACATGGACATGCAACCAATCTGAAGAACTTTTTCATCTTGCAAAACTGAAGATCTATACCTTATAATTATTATATTATACATGGCAGCTCCCCATTGTCCCCTTCCCTTAGCGCCTGGCAACCACTATTCTACTTCCTGTCTATAATTTTGACTATTCTAAGCACTTCCTATAAGTGGAATTGCACAGTATTTGTCTTTTGGTAACTGGCTTATTTCACCTAGCATAATGTCCTAAAAATATATCTATGTGATTACATGCATCAGAATTTCCTTCCTTTCTTAAGACCGAATAATTGATCCACTCCCAACTGTGGCCTCATCCCTGAATCTGAAGCCCAGCTCAGACCCTCATTAGCTTTGGAAAGAGTCACCTTTCTTTATCTCCCTTAACCTGTTTCCCCTACATGACATGGGAATAAATAGTATCTCCTTATCAGTGGGTTGGGGGAATTAAATGTCGCACACATGTATGCCTTAGCACAGTGATAAACACAGAGCAAGTACTTAAGATTTAGTAGTTATTTTTACTATTTTAGTACAAATAAACCTGTGTTAATTAATATGCTTGTGTGAGGAGACATTCCAACAGGATCCTGGTTAAGATAATTATTTAATACTATGTCTGGGTGCACGAATTCATGCACATTGAAAGGAAATTAATTAGAAGGTGGCCAGAGGGGCAGGACTGACCCAGACGGGCCAGACACTCACTGGAGTCAACCTTCCATGGACCCTCCCTGGCCAGCCACACCTGGGGTGTGCCATGGCTCAGCTCGAAGGTCGTCTGCTGAGTGAGTGGGGTCCCTCTAGGAGGTGGGGTCTCTCGGCCTGGCCTGGGGGGTTAAGGCCAAAACTGGCTCTCTGACATCCCCATGGGGTCCCAGATTGTGAGAGGGTGGTTCTTGGGTGACACACCCTGGAATAGGGTTCCTTCCTCTCTGGTTCTGGATGTGTCACCCAAGAACCGCAGCTGCCAAGTCACTGCAGCTCAACAGCTCCTGCGTTGAGTGTCTGCCCCCTGGTGTCAGTGCACATCATAGCTACTGGTCAGACAGTCACTTAGCAATATATATATATATATATATATATATATATATATATATATATATATATATATAGAGAGAGAGAGAGAGAGAGAGAGAGAGAGAGAGAGAGAGAGAGAGAGAGACAGGCAAAGATCTTAAATCTGGGATTCCAGGTCAAGTCAAAAAGGAGTGAGGAACAGGGCCTTGACAAGGAGAAGAGAGATCTGTCTACAGCAGTGACCTTTGAGGACCCCTTATCATCAGGTTCCATGGGAATTTTCTTTCTACACATAAATTTCACCTCTTATTTCTGAATGACTGTCTACACCCTCTTCAGGCACTGCCCCACCTCCATGGTTGTTTGTAAAGTCATGCGGAACAGGTGGGGTGTTTCCTGGAATCACTGATCTTGTGTCTGCTGGCTGAAGACCAGGAGATCCCCCTGGAGGAGCTGGCCAGTGTTGCTCAGACACTCCTCTGGATACTTCTAGGAGGGCAAGCCAAGGGAGGCCCGGTTGGAGGCTCTGTTATCGCTTCCGAAGTAAACATTCATCTCAGCAGTGGGAGCCCCTGGCAGGATCTATGTTCCCTCGTGAGTCCTCGGCACCCAAAGTTCTGGAGTCTCAGAGGTCCTAGAACTAGAGTGACATGAGCACTCAGGAAGACAAAGCTGCCCCCACCCCTCATGAGCCCCAGCCAGCTGGACACACGGACACACACCACAGCTAGAGATTTCACACGCATCTGGTGTGCCCCAGCCCAATGTCTTCCGCAGCGTAAGAAGCCGAGGCTTAGAGTGAGCATGGCTTTTCCCACCAGGAAGAGCAGCAGTGGTGGGATTCAGTTCCTGGTGAGATTCCAGCATCTGCCTCATTGAAGCCCAGGCCCCGAGACCTGGCAGCCAGTCCTCTGCTCCTTCTCAAACCTGGGAGAGCGACCACTACCACCGGGGAGCTCCTGGGTGGTTTTATTGCTTTCAGTATGTTTTCCCAGTTCTTCCCAATGATTGCAGGGCTCACAATAAAACGTAGGCTGTTCTCACAGAACGTTGTGAATCCTCATTGGACAGTAGAGAGGCAGGAGGTGACAGAGCTGTGGGAGCAGCACTGCAAACATGTTCCTTGAAAGTTCCTGATCATCACCACAGACTCAGGAGCTAGTTCAGAAGCAGCGTTTCTCAAAGGGTGGCCTCACTGAAGGAGATAGGTGGTGAAAAAGGCAGGTTCTTTCACACACACACACACACACACACACACACACACACACCCAGACCTGCTAACTCAGATGGCAGAGAGCAGAGGCAAGTTACCCTTGTGCTCACAAAGGTTTCAAATTCTTTGCATGAGAGCTTTGAAATGTATCTTCGTTTTAGCAGAAGGCTGCCAGCACTAATCTTTAGCCCCACTGGGCAATGAGAAAATAACATCTCCACCGGGGACAGCTGACCAAAGGTCACCTTCTCTCGGGCTGAATCTCCCAACTGCAGCCAGTGAAGTGTGGATCGAGAGAGCCTCTGATGGCCCCCACACTCCACGCCCACGGCCAGGCCCCAGGGAGGAGGGAGGCAGGAATGCAGCGGAAGACCCTTCCCCTCTGCCTGGGCACAGGGCCAATGCAGGCTCCAGGGGAAGCCGGCAGGAACCAGCCCTGGGTGTGGACGCTCCTCCTTCTCGGGCTGGTTCCTCATATTCAGTGCAGCTGAAATAACCTCACCAAAGGAGTATCTGGGCTTCTAAAATTCCAGTTGCCTCCCATCACTGCTCTAGTCACTCTTCAAGAACATTTATGAACTGTCAGGTACAGGTTCTCCCTAGCACCCATGGATGTTAACACTCATCCTCAGAAAGAAAGGGGATGGGAAGAGGCAGTAGAGAAAAAGATGCAAGGAAAAGACAGCGGGTCCCTGAGACAAACCAACAGTTTTGTGGAGAATCTCCTGATTAAGTGATGCTTGTGTGGACAGCTGCAGACTTGGAGTCAGGCTAGCTGGGTTCAAACCCTGACTCTGCTATTTAAGGGCTTTGTGACCTTCACCAAGTTATTGACCTCTCTGTGCCTGTATTGTCTCATCAGTGAAATGTGGGGTGTGGCAGTACCAGAGGCTGTCGTGAGAATTAAATAAGTCAGCATACGACTGCTTAATAGTGTCTGGCATGGGGTGTGGGACATATCTTAGGAATTAGTACTTTTGTTACCATTCTGATGTGAGATAACTAGAAAATAACAGTAGACAACGCAGTTAGCAGAATGAGCTCTGTCTCAGGTGAGGTTCCTAGGTGTGTAGCATTCACAGGAAAGGACACACCTCTGTGGGCAGGAGTTGTCTGGGAGATCTCATAAAGGCAGGACTCTTTTATGGACCTTAAAGTGGTTTGGAAGAGCATCCACAAGGAAATTCTCCTGGAGGCAGGGGTGAGCTAAGAGACCTGTTTCAGGTCAAGGTGTGGTGACCAGCTGTAGAGCTGGCATTGATCCCAACAGGAAAGCCAATCAATGTCAGTTCTTAAACCAGAAGCCGCATGATGACAGGAAATGAGCTTTACAGAGACGCAGCAAGAGGCAGCGTGCAGAAGGAGAGTTCCGTGGTCCAAGGGAAAGGTGCCCCCAGAACAATGTGAATCCCTGTCTCAGAATAGCATTTGCTATGTCACCAAAACCTGTTCCAGTGCGGTCGATTTATTAAGCATTTGACAATCTCCTGACGCAAGCTATTTTTATCCCTATATTATAGGTGAGTACTTTTATCCCTATATTATAGGTGAGGCACAGAGAGGTTAAGTAACTTGCCCAAGGTCACACAGCCATTTTATGGCAGGGCTCAGATTTGAAGTCAATGTCTGCAGAGTCCTTATGTTTTTAACTATTGTGCTTTGTCATGTAATTAACATTTATTAAGCGCTTACTGTGTGCCATAGTATAGTTCACTTAACTCTCATAACAATTCTATAAGGTCAGTACCATCGTTATTCTGTTTTACAGAAAAGAAAACTGAGGCTCAGGGAGAGCAAATAAGTTCCTCAAAGTCACAAATAAATTCCTCAAGGTCACATAGCTAGTCAGTGGCAAGGCTTTGTACCCAGGCGCTCTGACTCTGGAGCTTGCTTTTGGGGCCCTGCCACAGAAAGCGACCATCGGGAGAAAAAGGAGCCAGTAGGGAGAGAATAACTCCTAAGCATGGATGACCCAAATGGCCCTAATGCTGCAGTAATACTCCGTGGGGACAGGCAAAGTGCCAGGAAGAGGCCGTGAGACTTGTCAAAAAAGGCCAAAGGAATGAGTCAGGGTTCCAGGCCTGGGCAAGTAGCACAAGTTGGGAACACCACGATTTATATTTCTTGACAGGACTCAAACTGCAGAACACTGAAAAACTCAAACATGATAATGTCTTCCACTCCTGGAGCTAGAGACTGGTCTATAGAAAGTGAATCCCCAGGTCACAGTACAGACTCGAGTCCATGGCATTTTCCCGACCCCTGAGTTGCTGTTCGCCCCGCACTCACTCACTGGGCACAAGGTGCTCACTTCGAATCTGCAGCTCAAACTCAGCTCTAACACATGGGGCATGGGAGCAGAACACCATAGTGGAAAGACGTCTCTACCACTAATTGACGATTTTCTAAAATGCTCTTTCAGAGTCTCCAGGAGCATGAACTAGCAGAGGAGGAGCCACTGAGGCAGAAACGAGCGGGTATGTGAACTCTTTCTTGTCAATCAATTCTAGTGATTCCATTAAATGATATTGGCTCTAACTTTTCCAAACAGTGTGATCTACAATTCACTCTCAATATCTAGAAGTAATTACAAAACACACACAAACACACACACACACACACACAAAAACTCCTTTCTTGCCAAAACCGGTTTGGCTCAGTGGATAGAGTGTTAGCCTGCGGACTGAAAGGTCCTGGGTTCAATTCCGGTCAAGGGCATGTACCTTGGTTATGGGCACATCCCCAGTGGGGGGTGTGCAGGAGGCAGCTGATCGATGTTTCTCTCTCATCGATGTTTCTAACTTTCTATTCCTCTCCTTCCCTCTCTGTAAAAAATCAATAAAATATATTTTTTTAAAACCTCCATTCTCTACCAAATGGCATTAAAGGAATCTTAGCAACATTCCGATGCCCCTTCCTCCTCCCACCGCCTGTGCCCGTCTCCCCAGCTGCCCTCCACCTCCAAAAGTCTGCTTCTTCACTCTCAACCTGCAGCCTTTCCTTTTGCCTTTTTTTTTTTTAATTTTTTTTATTTAAACCTCTTTGACTCTCACTTATCACTTTATTTTCTGGATTCACTTAACCACTAGACTCAAGTCCTTCTCCTCTGTCTCCCACTGTAATTTTTTCACTAAATTTCAAAAGCTGGTCTGGAAAATAGAGGGCTCTATCCCTTGCAGGGTTGAGAGCAGTGAGAGCTGCAAACACCTACATGGACATGATCCTTGGGGCCCTGTCCCACCTGCAGGACTTGGGCGAGTGTCAGTGTACATCTGCAGGCTGTTTTTTTCTCTAACCAGATTCTCCTACTTTTCTCATTGGAACCTTTCAAAAGCATTATCCTGACACTTTTCTTTCCATGCATAAAATTCTTCATGGGCTCCCAATTGAAGATAAAATCCAATTACCTGCTTGAGTCCTACTGGAGGGACCCTGCCTGCCTTTCCCACATGTTCTATTCCTGTTCCTTTTCACCAGCCAGTGCCCTGCCCACCCCTCCTCTCCCCCACTTGCTTGTCCAAGGGACTCTGACTTAAGTCTCAATTCACAGAGGTTCCTGCCATGTAAGGTCTTCCATCAAGTCCCAGACAGGGTGGGGCTGCTTTCTGGGTTCCCACTGCCCTTGATACCTTCCCGTAGCACAACAGTGTCCCAGTGCTTTGTCATTCTGCTTCCTGTTTGTCATCCCTAGTAGACAAGAGTGCCCCTGAACTCTGAGAAACTCAAACACGGGGATGTCTTCCGCTCTGTCTCTGTATAGCTGCCCCTGTGTGAGTTCCGAGGATCCGTTCCTATTGTTGAGTCTGCCGGCCTGGGGTGTGTAGAAGGCGGAACTTCTTCCCTCCAGCATTGTGAGGGGATAATTTCCCAGACGTGCTGTGACTCGCTCTGCTCAGTCTAGTGGTTTGAAAGACTGGCTGTGCTTCAGAAAGGAGGAAGCTTGTTAGAGGTCAGGCGGAGTTGTCTGTTAGAGCCCTCACAGCGCAGCAGCCAGACGCCACTGCTGTGAAACTAGAACTTGACCACATTTTATCAAGCTCTTAAAACCCTCATTGGAAGGTCATACCAATAACTTTCTTTTCCTTCCCTTATTTTTCTTTTATTTTCTCTTCTCTTTCTGCTTCTGTTTTAGCCCCGTGTCCTTTCCCTATGGGATCCCCATTCCCCCTTCATGCCCTCCGTGCTTGAAGTGGTCTGCAGCGCAGATGGTACTTTCTGTGTTTTAAAAAGAGTATCATTATGGCTCTAGCCTAGGGGTGTCGAACTCAATCAGAGAAGGGGCCAAAATCTAAAATCCAGCCTAAATCGCGGGCCGAATGGTTTACTGAACAGTCATAAACTGTCATTGTGATGGAAACGCAGCGGAGTGCAGTGATGACAGGGCGGTGCGGGCCACATTGCAAGGCCTGGCGGGACGGATTTGGCCCACGGGCCTTGTGTTTGACACATGTGCTCTAGCCCGTTAGGCTCCGTGGATAGAGCATGGTTCCCAGGTTTGATTCTGGTCAAAGGCACGTACCGCCTTTGCAGACTTGATCCCTAGCCCTGGTTCAGGCATGTGCAGGAGGCAACCAATCGATATCTCTCTCTCATCAATGTTTCTCTCTCTGTCTCTCCCCCTCCCTTCCACTCTCTCTACAAGTCAATGGGAAAATATCCTCAGGTGAGGATTAACGAAAAATTAAAATTAAAAAAAAAATAGTAAAATAAAAAGAGCATCGTTATGTCTACCCCCACTTCCTGTCCCCTGTGACAGTCCCAGGGCCACAGGTGCCCCATGCAGCGTTTTGAAAGACTCTTCTTTTTAAAATCAAACTATTGGAGGGTGAGTTCTAGCTCCAGGTTCCTGCCAGCTTCTTCTAGGTCTTGGCTTCCCGCTTCCCCAAGGGCAGTGGGGGACCCACAGCTGCAAAAGTAACATCTTCCTGCACTTCCTGTGGCTGTCCGTGACCCATGGCAACGGCACGAGAGGTTAGCCCTTGGGGAGGAAACTGCTTCCACATCTAAAGGTTTGACATTCCACAATTTTTCCAGACGTGCTTTCAGTAAAAACTCTCATGATGATGATAAATCACCATGAAAACCTCTTTTCCTTTATGACATGTGGTTCTCTGTGCTCTCACGCCTCCAGAGTCCTTTGGGATTTGTTAATCACTCAACTAGCCATTTGCAGGAGATGGATTGGCCTCGGTACTTTTACTAAATTATTGAAATAAGAAATGGCCATGGAGCCCTGGCCGGTTTGACTCAGTGGATAGAGTGTCAGCCCGCTGACTGAAGGGTCTCAGGTTCCATTCCTGGCCAACAGCATGTATCTTGGTTATAGGCTCCCATCGATGTTTTTCTGTCTCTCCCCCTCCTGCCACTCTCTCTAAAAATCAATGGGAAAAATATTCTAGGGTGAGGATTAACAGGAAAGAGGAAGGAAGGAAGGAAGGAAGGAAGGAAGGAAGGAAGGAAGGAAGGAAGGAAGGAAGGAAGGAAGGAAGGAAGAAAGGAAAAAAAGAAGGAAGGGCCATGGAGAGGCTCAGGCACAATGCAACAGATGCTTGAAATGTGAGTTGCAATTAAGAATGTGACTATGAGAGGAAGCAATAGGAGGGTTACATGCAGCACATGCCACACGGAGGTGTTGGTTCTGCTTGGTGTGCGAAGTTAGTGGGCTTAAAGCACCTACGCTCCAATTCTCAGAGTGGTATTCTCCTTCATGTATACGCTCAGCACCCTTTCTGGAGCCTTAATGCCAGAAAGACTGAAACAATGTTTCTGAGAGAAAGAAAATTCTCAAAAGAAATTTTCTTTTGAGACACTGGACCAAGTTTTTAGAGCTTGGGATAGAATTGTCTTTAAAGATTGGATCAATACTAATATTTATTCTGAGAACACTGTGGACTTTTTCCTGTCATTTTGTTCTGTTATATAACTTCTTGAGCCCTTGATATATATATATATTTATATCACACATATACACACATACACACACACCACACACACACACACACACACACATCAGATCACATCTATCACACAAAACCACATATATACATAGAAATAGATATGTATACCAACTAATGTATTACATAATAGTACTATATGTATCACATATATCACACACACACACGTTATCTATATATATATAAGCCTAATATGCTAAATGTCTGACTGTTCAACCATTCGACCAGTTGCTATGATGTATATTGACCACCAGGGGGCAGACACTTCAACCAGTAGATTAGCTTGCTGCTGGGGTCTGGCCAATCAGGACTGGGAGAGATGGCTTGGACATACCCTGGAGCCAAACTCCCATGGTCCCTCTCTGGCCTCTAAAATAGTTCTTCTAATTAATTTCCTTTCAATGTGCACAAATTCTTGCACTGGGCCTCTAGGATATATTATTATATTATATTATATTATATTATATTATATTATATTATATTATACTAGAGGCCCAGTGCATGGAATTCATGCATGGGGGGTATGTCCAGCCTCACCTGCACCCTCTCCAATCTGGGACCCTTCAGGGGATGTTCAACTGTTGGGCCTAAACAGGCAGTCGGACATCCCTCTCACAATCCTGGACTGCTGGCTCCCAACTGCTCACCCCCTGCCTGATTGCCCCTAACCGCTTCTGCCTGTCAGCATAATCACCCCCTAACCACTTCCCTGCCAGCCTGATTGATGCCTAACTGCTCTCCTGCTGACCTGATTGTTCCCAACTTTCCTCCCCTGCATATTCCTTCTTTATTAGATAGAGTTTTTTTCTTTAACATATTGGACAGCCCTAACTGTTTGGATCAGTGGATGGAGCAATGGCCTGCATACTTAAGGGTCCCAGGTTCGATTCCAGTCAAGGCCATGTACATTGGTTGGGGGCACATACTCAGTGGGGACTATGCAGAAGGTAGCTGATTGATGTTTCTCTCTCATAGATGTTTCTAGCTCTCTATCCTTTTCCCTTCCTCTCTATAAAACATCAATAAAATATATATGTAAAAATGAAACATTTAAGATTCCTCTCTGCCTGGCTGGTGTGACTCAGTGTCTAAGAACCCAGGCTGGGCCTGGAGGGGATCTCTGCATGGGTACGGGCACTGCTGATGGCCTGAGACCCCAGGCTGGGGGCATGGACCCAAACCACCACTTGGTGCTGGAGCATTCCCAAGTGGCTGCAGGTGGGGCAGGAACATTCCTGCCCCACCACAGCCACTTGGTGCCTGCACTCATAAGCTCCGAGTGGCCAGGGGGCATTCTGGAACCCCTGCCGCTCAGGGCCTATGGGTCTACAGGCTAGAAGCAGCCTAGGTCCAAAAGATGTTCCTGTTGCCTGGGAAACCCAAGCCTCTCTCCTGCTCTCTGTGGCCATAGCCATCTTGGTTGGGTTTATTTGCATACTCACTCTGATTGGCTGGTGGGTGGAGTAATAGTTAATTTGCATAGTACTCTTTTATTAGGTAAGATTATATTATATTATATTATT